AATGTAATTCCAATACAGCGTGAATTCCTGGATCTATTTAGAGGGGGTTATACGAGATATTAAGACCGAGCTAATTTGTTCGCTGTTATCTTGTGCAACTCGTGTAAATTTCAAGTTATCGACTTTCCAAAATTATCGTGTTAAATACTTTTGTACAGGCATACAAGCAAAATTTTTTTAACTTTAGATTTGTGAAAAAAACATTTGGATGGCTAAAATTAGCAAAAGATATACACTAAGACTTTATTTATTTTAAAATTAAAGTAACAGCTTATATACGTCCCACTGCTGGGCACAGGCCTACTCTCACTTCTGAGAGGGTTTTAGTGTGTAGCACGTGGTAAATCAGCACTTAAAACTGCAATTAACAATTTCATTGGTGCCGGCGGGGATCAAACCCGTTTAGCTCGCGTACTGTATAGCGTGCGCTTAGCTTGAGCTACCACGGCTTATTTATTTTACTCTACGATATATTTATTCCAATAAATTAAATGTCGAATAATAATTATTTTAACACTAAAAATAATATTGATTATGACGTGGTTGTTAATAAAACTATTGAACTGCAGTTTGTAGATTTAGTAGAATCACAATATGGACTTTCAAATATTAAAATTATTCGATAAAGAAGAAACTATTTACCATATAGTTTTTCCTGCTAGCTGCTGCGTATATCAATTATTAAACAGAACGAATGAGTTCAATATTAACATATACAATTACAGTTATCATTTTTGAACATTCTGACAAAAGGGCAAACTATTTACAAAAAGTCGTTACTTAAATCCAATTCTTCAAATTTAAAAGGGGAATTTTATAACGAGGTTACGATTTTAAAAGCTAGGTCTAACGTGTATAACGAAGTAAAAAAATACTCAATAGAGTACGGTTGTCAGGTAAATACAATATAATCAGCATTGAAAAGGAATTTCTGTATGATAACTATATAAAAACGTTTAAAAATATAATACGGTGTGTAAAAAAATATTACTGCAAGTTTTCTACCACGACAATAAAATACATAAGCGTACTATTTGAGTATTTGTACTTAAGATTAGATATTAAATATTTCACAAATTATGAATTAATATAACTTGTTTTTTGTAGATGGTACCAGATGTAGTACCCCCACTAGATGGAGTGACGACCTGGTAAGACATGCAAGAAGTCGATGGATGCAGGTGGTTCAGGACGGCGCTATGTGGCTTTCCTTGGTGGAGGCCTATGTTAAGCAGGGGACCTATGAAGGGCTGTAATAATGATGATGAAATATGTGGTTGGTATAACGTACACTTCCACATATTTATCAATTAAAAATAATTGCTAACACTAGGAATATTCTCGAAAATGCAAACGTATCTGCATTTTGATTCTTAATCTATGACAGGTAATAGGTGCCTATGGGTCACAACATCCGCTTATCATCCGGCAGAATGTAAGCTCGTTTGTCACTTTACTTAATTGAACTGTCTCGTTTTTTTTTTTTTGTTGGAACGGTCTATTTTAGGATTTTCTGTTTCATTTCATTGTCTTTTATTAGCGAACAGGCGTGAAATGTCAACGACATTGCGAACAAATCTGATTCTCCAACTCATGAATGACGAATCACATACTATGCATCGTCTTCGTCACATTTCTTTTTCAACTCGCGAACGTATAAATAGCGAGACTGGATTATTTTAGCCTTCGCAGATTCGCAGACCAATTGTCGCGAACTTTATATACCTACATAATTTTTTTAACGTTGACCGCCATACAGAAATAAGTCGTGACCTATTTGTAGGAATGTTTGCGTAAAAACTGAGAACGATAAGAATTCGCAACGTTCGCTCGGTACTAGATAAAATTTGGTCACAAATGCGGTTTACGGCAACTAACCTACATAATGTTATCAATTTTTATTTAATCGGCTAGTTGCAAAATGTATACCCACTCACAAATCGGGTTAAACTATCGAAACACCTTTATAGAATTAATACATATAAAATATTTAGAAAATCGGGGCTTTAAATTCTGCACACTATACCTTAGCACCGACTTCAATAGCTTTTATGAGCGAATTTCTTTGGAGTCTGCTTTTTTATTAAAATTTTAATTTTTCTTACTATAGAAATCACCACAATATGTAAATATGAATATTGTTTAATTACAATAATAATAATAATCCATATTGAAAGTAAAATTTTTATTATTTATAATATATTGAAATTAAAATTTTTATTATTTATAATATAAGATATTGAAAAAAAGATGTAGTTTAGGTACACAATTTTGTACATTATAGTCTAAAGTAGACCGAGCCAGAATCTTACACACTGGTCTCTATTGAATATAAATACGGCACATTAAGATTAATTTATTATACTATATATTATGATTTGTCTTTAACTTTAAACTAAAGTATTCACAGTTTTATTTTTATGGTAAAATGGCTATGTGCGGCATACAGTTATGATAAAACCATATCGTAAATATGGTAAATGAAAAAATTGACTTTCAATAAGTATTGTTTATAATCTAAAAACATTGAATAAAAGTTTCTATTTCTATTTCTATAGACGAACTGTAACACCGTTTCAACAGTTTGTAGTCCTTTGTAACTCATTTCTTTGTCATTTACATAATTAATTATTATTAAATCCTAACTAATTAAATATTTCTTATTCAAATAAATAATGATGTACAGCCGGCAATGATATTCATCACAGCGGAGTTCATTACGTATATGTATTCGTTTAGTTTCTCAGTAGAAGGGGCCGTTAGGAGGGGGCCCTCTAGCCTTGCTGTGACATTCGGCGATCGGTGCGTTATCAAGTCGTCTATTTCACAATGTCAATGAGAAGGTCACGCTATTTTCGGCGGGCTTGAGGCGTCCACGTGTGACGTCCAATAAACAGGAATTGTTTTAATGCGTGGTTATATTAATGCAAGAGTTGGTCACTGTATCGAGATCAGAGATTGATGCATTAAAAAAGCAAATTGCGCAGGCTGTTAGGTATCACATACGGCAATACAAATGTAGCCGTCGTGTCGGCAACAGGCGGTGTTGTAAATACACTCGGCGTTTAGCAACGATAACGTTGCTACATTTAACCTTGCTAGGTTCTCACGAGGGAAGTGTACTGTGCCTTGACAATACCTGTACAGGCCTTTGTTAGCACTGGAACTACATATCCTGTATTGCCTTAAATCATCGCCGACCTAACTATAGCGATAAAAGTTTGAATTAACTTGTTTCCTAACAAGTTTCTAAGTCGCGACTTTGTTAGCATTTTGCATTTGTATGCCGATTCAACGCCTGGACGCGAATAGATTTTGCAAGCAGACTTATTTTTAGATAATTATTTATTTGGAAAAAAAAACTAGGCTATTTAAAAAGTACGTTTCTTCAACACTTAAGAACAATACACTGAATGTTTAAATTTGCTATTAACGGTTATATTAACCGTTATTGTTAGTTGAATGATTGCGAAAGTCGATGCATGACATTGTAAAAACGGCGATGGCTCGGTGGCCTACAAGTGCGATCGAGCAACGCGAGGCCATGACATATAAAGTATGACATCGATGTTAAACTCGGAATTCTATGAACAATACACGCGAATTTCATGTAAAAAAAAAACTGTATTTCTATATAAATAACAGACAATAAGCATTGAATAGCCGCTCTTTGAGGAATCCATTAGGGCTGCCTATATTCAGCAGTGTGAGCTTTTGCTAGGCTGTAACGGTGAAAAGGTATTAGATGGTATGACATAACTAGTCTGTAATAATCAGTACTTATTCTTTACTAATGACAACCTTGCCAATTGTCATTTCATCAAAATGATTTTGAGGAAAAATGCCCCTTTTGGTCTTTATTCCCACAGATATATTATGATTAATTCGCAAGTAAAGGACCACGCTATGTGGGTTCATTTTATACACAACTAGGCTTATCTCTCCATGGGGTCTAAATCCCGTGGGATAAAACGAACCCTTCCAGATTTGCCGGATGTTTAAGTTAATGTGAACTCCGACTTTTTTAAATTATTACATACAATAACAAAGTAAAATGAATAGGTACATATAGACAACAAAGGTTCATATCAAACGACACGATGTTTACAAAAGTTAATATGACAAATTTTTGTGTGCGTAGGTAATAAGCTTTTGTAATACCTCTTAAGAAAAATATCTGCGTGTCTCTATGGACTACTTATAAATTAGACCAGAGGTCGAATGAAGACAAGAGATTACACACTGTATTCAATCAAACAAAGCTACGCAACTAGCTGTTGAAACTCTGCATAATTTCAACATGCGCCGTTACGTTAGAGGTTGGCTTATCCCAGTAGTGTCGCGAGTACGATGATAGATCACTAATTTTAAGCTTTTAAATGAAAAAAATAAAATTTTGTAGACTTATACCTATTCCTTGAACCAATAATTATAACACTTTTTCCTAATAATATTAAAAAAGGTTGTCAATTTGAAGCAGAATTTTTGTATGGTGTCTAGATGTATTTAAAGCATATTTTTTAATTTAAATCTTTCAATAATTGCTACTGAACTTTCTTAAAAAAAATGTTATTTAAATATATTATGATGTAAATACAATACCTAAGTTTATCTATGAATACAATTGTTTACTTACTTTGCAAACATATTCTTCTTGCGTGCGCACGTCCACACATCTACAAAGCGAGGAACCCTCAACTTGTTCCAGTAATAGGTATTTTTCTGCTACAAGAGCCGCTTGGAACTGGTGTTGCAGTGGGGTAGGGCTGCTAGGCGCTGGGCTTGAGGGTGAAGGCGTAGCAGAAAGCCGATCGACAAGCGACGGCGACTGCGGTCTCTCTTCAGCTTTGCTATTCTCCCCATTTGAAGTAACGGGGACCGTCACCGTAGGCTTGCTCAAGCGCAGCGGCCATAACAACGAAGGCGATCCCGGATCCATCACAACACGAAAACACTGTCACTCACGAAACACTTAACATCCACAATACACGCACTAACACTTATAAACGAAGAGGAACTATGATGAGATGAACATGATCTGTAACAAAATGAAATGTTATTAAAATCTTGTAAGTATAAAAGATTGTTCCCAAATTAAGATTCTTAAATAAGTTACAGTAAAATGTTCAAAGCAAGGAAAATAAAAAAAAAATACCTACAAAATACTAAAAATTACGAACCTTGAAATGAATCGGCCTGAGTGGATATCGTACCAAAATTTGACTGTCCGTATCGGCGAATATCGCTTTAAATCTTGTGGAATTACAGGATTACTCTCCGTAGTAATTCTAGCAAGTTTAGACAGGCCGAAATTTTGGGCCGGTGTCCGCTCGGGATATTGTAAAACTAAACGAACACACGACCAACTCCTACTAACGCCATTGCGAGACTGACTGAGAGTGAGAGAGTGAGACTAGCGTGACGAGCTGACGCGGGCACTCGGAGGACTCGGACGGACCTCGGGTCGGCAGCCGATCCAACGTCCAATGTCGACACACCGTCGGCTTGCGTAGTACGCGAGTATACGCCATGCGGTTCAAAGCAGTAGCTTGCTGTCATTTGCTATCTCTTTCTATCGTAAGATTTTACTACTCTTTAGAAAAGGAAAAAAATAGACCATTCATTTACGTTTGGCAATGCGATGATGTAAATAAAATGTGTTGTTTCAATATTTTCACAATTAATTTAATTTAACTACAGAAATAGGTAATTGCATTAAACAAAAATGTTACATATAAGTTGTGAAAATCTTTTATGATTATATGTGCCGAATACTGCTTCTATTTTTAAGAAATTGTATCAGTTCCAAAGACAGGTAATTTAACTTAAACCGTTAAATTTATATGTAACTTATTATATATTAATAGATATAATTATCGGACAGATAAAATTAAGCATTTTCATACCTATAAAATTAAAAGTTGAAAGTGAGAATAATAGGCGAATTGATAAATCTAGGTAGGTACTTACTTTTAGATTTGAAATTTTTTAATTGAATCAAAGCAAACCACGGACAGGATTCATTAATAAACAAATATACACAATGAAAGCAAATAATACAGTGCGTTTCACAATCACTCTAAGGGTACTCCAATCCAAGAACTATGGCTAAATGGAATGTACATTGAGCTATAGTTAAACAGGCGAATTAAAAAAAGGACGCTTTTAACAACTTTTGACGTAAATTTTTGAATTAATAGGTTGTTTAAATAATGATATTTTTATCCGCATTCTGCACTACAGGACGGGTCAATATAAATAATCAGTCACTCGCTAGGCGCTTGTAGAGTTGTCACGTGTTGTGTAGATTTAAAAAAAATCTCTTGATATAAATATGCCGCCGTGTGTACTTACATATTGCACAAATAATTCAAGAAATGTCAGCAATAACCAAGGTACTACTTTTCATCGGTTAATAAGATACTTAATCAATAAAAAAGTATTATAAATTAATAATAAAACAAATTATTCCTAAGACTCCATCTCGTGTCATGTAATATAGATTATGAAATTAATTTGTTCAGATGCGACATTTCTGTGGGTACTTAAGTGTAGGACGAATCTATTATTATATACATTTTTTTTGTAGAAACATATATGAGATCATAATTATGCCAATTTTTTATATTTAAATCTGCTCATAATTCTTTTATATTATTTTTAGGTTTCCACATCAAAGTCAAAGTGGAATAAATACGTCCATTTTTAACTCTCGCGTGCCCAGCATTTATAAACGACTCTTATTCTAATTTAAATAAATATATCTGTAATTTAAATTTTATATTTGTTTATTTTTATTTTTTGGTGTTTTATTTAATGGTGTTACAACGTTCAATTTATATTACAAAAATTATAATAAAGAACTTAACTAAAATAATAATTAAAATTATAATATTAAAGATTAAAACTAATTATATACAACATAAAAGAAGAAACTATAATATAGAAAATTTAAATCGTCAAAAAGACCTGCTCCCCGTGGTATAGTGCCAAGAAAGCTGGCTGCGTTTCCTCGCTGAATAGCTATACTTAGCCTTTGAGCGAGGAAAGAACCAGCCCTCTTATCACCAGCAGTGACGACCAGTCGTGGATACAGTTCCTTTATAAACTTCATTGCACGTGGACCCCACGGACCGATAGTCTCTACAGCAAATGGCACAAATATGTAGTCATTTCTCAAAGACTCATATTTGCGCCATTTACTAAATTCGGCTGCCTCTGACGCCGCCCCGGCTCTAAAGAGTTACCCTTGAGATGAGAGGCCGCCAAAGTGTCAACGCAAGTAGCATCCCACACTAGGGCTTTACCTCTCTCCCAAGGGACCAAAGTCATACAGTCGGGTCTCTTGCCATCGTCTCTAAATATCCCGCAAGGATCTAAAACCGAGGGGATATTTATAGAGACAAGAGCCCTTCGCACGATTTCGTTCAAATAACCAAATTTTATATTAATAAGTTTTATATTAATAAGTTTTGTTAAACATACATTTAGTATGTTTTTTTTTAATATTTGCCATAGATACCTTTTAAAATATTCTGATAAATATATCATTAAAATGTAATTGTGATATAATATTATGTAATATTATATTAATAAGCAAATATTATATACATAATAAATGACAAAATTTAAATCTTATTCTCGATATAATTTACCTATTTAACAATACACTTTGGTTTGGTCTTTAAACTACTATTACCTACAGATTATCCTACCTATGTTTATTCTATGATAAAAAAACCAACGGCGCGAACACAGAGTAGCGCACATTTTTTGTTTGAGATAGCCGTTCTAGTACGTAGGTACATATTACTTCAATGGAGACGTAATCTGTTCGGTAAAAATATACAAAAACCGAACCTCCTTTTTAGTTGTGGCGAGGTATTATTCCGCCTTAAGTACTTATGGGTGACAACATATCTGCATTATGATCCTCAATCGATCACAGGTGTATGTGTCAATGGGCTAGAGTACCTGTCTATGTACTTTTGATTAGGTATTCACTTATCATCAACTTAATCATGGCTCCGTAACGCAGCGGCTTAGCGAAGGATTTTTTTATTGGAAGTATATATAAAGACCATTTTTACATCACTTAGACCACTGGGTTGAATAGTCTAAGTTACATCATAATTAATAGACGAGAAAGGGCACCACTTTGGTGTTAAATTAGAAATAATACTAAGAAGCATTTGTAGGAGCATTTTTTGTTCGGAAATTGATATTTCTTAGCCAGTAACAATTTATTTGAGTAATTTAAAATTATTAGTACTTGGCACATTTTAATTGATTAAGCAAATGCTGCAATGCTTTAATGGGTTTAGTGTTTAGTGATTATTTCGAAAAAAAACTACCACTAATGGTAGTAAATAAGTTAGAAAATATTAAAATGAAATTAATTACTTATGTCCATATAGGTAATATGGACAATGCTATGTAAAGAATTGCAAAAGCTTGCAATATGTATTGTTATTTGTAACTTACACATTTATGACTACATGCATAAATCGCAGTTATATAATTATAGTAGGTAGTAGTTATATAATGATTGCTGTCAATTTCATTTTACTAGGTTAAATCAATAATAAATTTTTAAACAGAAATGCAAAAAAAAAAATATATATTGGAAATCTTTCCTACCTCGTACGTACCAGTAGATATCTACTAAATGTTTTAGGACGCTGAGAACAGCTTTATTAACAGCTCCTAAAGCGGGAAATGAGAACCAATCCTGACTGCTGCCTTGGTGACACTGATAGATCCTTTTGTTTTGTCAATAATTTAGATTAATCATAATCAACATTTAGTTGCGCAATCATTTACATTCTAAAATCATTGTGCAATTTTAAACAATCATATTCCAAGTTGTTTTACGAGAGACGTACCATAAGTTAAGCAAATATAGTAAACAAAGGCACGTAAAAAGTTCTCTTTCTATTTATAATCTCAGCGATATAAAGCGAGATTTTGTTATACTTATAAAGTTGAACCGACAAATGGACTTACAGTTCATCTGATGGTAAGTAGATAGCCATGGATACCTGTAACCAACTTCAAATAAAGGATCCTACAGATGCGTTGTCTTTGAGGACTAAGATGGAAAGCCTCACAGCCTGTAGTTGTGGTGGCTCCCTACACCTTTCCGACCGGAGCACAGCAGAGCACGCACTACCGTTTGGGTGCAGAAATGAGTAAGATGTATGTATACATACGTATAGATGTAACTACGGACGGATTCCTCGGCGGAATACGAGTTCTGCCACCCTAGTAAAGTACTGAGGAGGAGCTTCGATGCGTTTCGCTTGTGGCGCTGTCGGCGCGCCACAAGCGAAACGCATCGAAGTCTAAATCGCACTATGAAAATTCCAAAGTAAAAACAGTATATTACACATTTAGAATACCTCCGATCTATTACACGGAGCGTTGGCCGTGCCCTGGGATGAACACCTTGCCCGGCGGGAGATCTCCCCTTTTCCTGCCACGGTCACGGTACTTTGTAGTCCTACCACCAACCAACAACATTTGTTTGTCATATAATTAAAAGAACGTGATGTGCGCCAGCGTAAACAGAACTTATTCAATTACCCACCCTTTTTAAATATAGGTTGCTGCAATTTATTATAATTGGTGCATTAGTAACGGTATATTCAACAGATAAATTATAAGAAGTACATTTGATATTATGTCTAAATACGAGGCATTAACGTTTAATTTATCTAATTAGGGCAGGGCTATATTTTAGTTTGGTCTTCAAACTATTTTTTATTTGTCACATTCTTAATAAATATTTACCTAAATTTCTTTTTTTTTTTCACTACCTTAATACTATATAGAATCTTAAAACAAAGGTGAACGTACAATAAACGCGGTTTGTTGCCAAACTGACTTACGGAAGCGAAACGCAGTCCTTCACTGCTGGCCATATGAGTAAGCTTTAAAAGTAAAAACTCCGAAGCTCTCTGCGTATATCCATAATGGTCGGTACGTACACACGACAACGATTTATCGTTGCAAACTGACTGCGCAGACCATTTGTGCAGTTTTATCGAACGTGTGTATAAAAATCGGCGCAGATTTTTGGTTGGTGCAAACCATCGGAGCAAGGTTCAAAATCTATTCGATAAATCGTTGTCGATCGCGTTTGCACAGTTTTATCGTAGTGTATGTACGGAAGTCGGACCAACCATTCAGTTCGTTCGCAAGTTGGTTTGTTTCAGGAATGATTTGACTGAGAGCCAGTTTTGATATCAACGTAGAAAACTTCATGCATTCGTACAAGCAACCTGTAGCTAAAAACCTCAGAGTTGCAGACAATCTTTCATGAGAACTTATTGCTTCTCTCATCACGGTATTGCTTTATTGTATTACCGGTGTAACTAAAAACAGGAGGTGTAAGTAAGTCTCTTCATTCATCCTCAAATAATTGTGCCAGTCTTTTGGGGAATTTCAACTCTTTTAATAAATTTATGTGAGAGTATGACTTTCTTTTAAGAAGCCAATCCCTACACCACACACCACGTGATTTTCTTTACTTTTTGCACAAAGCAAGCCAGGCTAGC